CCCCCCATATTATGCAGGATTATCCTACCCCAGGAGTACCCCCGAGGATCACGCCTCAAACATTCGCGGAAGCAGAGGCTCATGGGAAAACCGCACATAGAGCTGCCTTTATGTTTTCTCCTAAGTGCTATCAGCGAATACCAGTGATAGAACGCGAATTATGGTCGAGTGATTAAATGTGTAGGTGTACACAGACCGCTGATTTCCTTTAGAATATGCAATCTTATACACAATAAGATTGCACCTATAATATATTTAATATATTGCTCATTAACATTAATAGATTGCTTATAACATTGTAAACTATGATTTGATTAATTAAACACTCGAAATAAAAAAAATCTTAGAAAATTATTCTAAAGATTAGAGAAGCTCGATATCATATTAAAAAAAAATTATCCTTTTACTATTTAATGATGTTAATATAACTCGCGATAAACCAAGATATATTCGTGTATGTACGTTGCATATGCGATGATTTTAGTAGTTCAATCGTGCGTATAGTCAGCCGTTAAAATCCTCCTGATAAATTATAAAAGATACAATTTTATGCGTCCATTAATGTTTTTTATAACAATATCGGAAAATGCCTTCAAAAGTACAGTTCTATTTCGCGATTGCAATATAATTATCGTAATCATTAAAATTACTCATCCGTGTTATTATTTTAATACAATTCGCGAATGTTTTAAAAACATTACGAAATATTTTATCCTAGACAGTAAAAAGTTAAAATTTCAAATTTAATTCTTGTCAGAAAAGACCACCTCCATTTTTTCGATAATAAAATAACGTTACACATTTGTATCTATTTTCCAGATACAGATTACTTTTATATATTTCTATATTTTTTTCTGAAAGATTATTATATAATTTCCAATCTTCACGCATCCGTTATTTTGCTTAAATAAAATAAATTTAAAAAACGTGATGAGACATTGCAGTATCTCTGATATTTTATGTTTTTAGCCTCGCAATATTTCAAAATATAACGCCGATATCTAATTTCGAAAAAAATGTTTACATTGCAATCACGAATTGCCGCTAAATAATCAACATTGCGAATTATTTTTTTTTTTATTATCGCAAAAAAATAAAACGTACGATTTAAATGATTAAATTTTTGGCATTCCGCTCATTCTCCAGATAGATATAAATATTTGTATTCCACGTAGCGAATATACAGAAACAATTTCAATATTAAATTTATTATACGGCATGCTTGCCGCCGAGATGACGCGTTGCTCGAATTAAAATTTTATTTCCGCCCTTACGCCGCGTTTTTGTTTATTTGGATCGGCGCTTTTTTTCGAGAAAATACACGGGCGTGCTACTGAATTGTTAAAACGGGGTGTTATACATCAGGGAAAAATACGGTGGCCATTTATAAACAAAGCAGGATGGAATACATGAATTACAGATTGCTACAAGGAAAGAGAAGTAAATAATATGTAAATCTATTCCCAATTTCCCTTTCTCGCGACAAGTGACTCATGTGCGTCCCGGCAAAAATTCGCCGGTCATTAAAAAGAAAAAAAAAATCTCACGAGTAACGTTGCGCTACGCGCTACTCACCCTGTATATCGCTATTTAATGTCGCCGGTCTAACCGGCAGTCTAAGTATTTTCTTTCGTCGCATCTATCACGATTTAGCGTCCGGCCGATTTCGCCGCGCGTATAGGCTAGCAAATCGAGTGTATCAGCTCGAGTTGCTAGGCCATTTGTCATTTCATTACGGGACAGTCAGGAGAGAGAGAGAGTGAGCGAGAGAAAGACGAAAGCGACCGTCTAGCGTCGCGTCGGCGTGGAAGACGGACGAGAAGGCACACTCGTTGAACGAGGCTGCGCCTGGGTGATTTGTCAGGTCGGGGCGTCCTATGCGTACGTTATCGCGTCGCGCTCACAGCTCGACGCCCGAGTACGATTTACGCTTTCGCGGAATACCCCATGCATGCGCCGTGAGAGAAAACGATGTATGTACAACACTCACGTCTCACGTCGGCACGGCGCGGGCGGAATGGCGCGGCTGCGTTCTGCGTCGTTGACTCGCGCCGGTCGGGCGATCGCCGGATCTCCGATGCGCGTCAAGTCTGCGTCCGGAGCACCAAACGTTTCACCTTGAAATTCGAAGGCCACGAACACGCGAGGTAACGCCCGATTTATTTTCCGATTTATACGTTTGTCTCGCTGCGGAAAACACGGAGCAGCTCCAATCACGCGCGACGCGCGACGCACATCCCCGAACGGCCCGAACGTTGTCGCACTGCGTCGTCCTCCCATTAGCGGCTCACTTCACCACGGCTCACGTTCGCGCGCTTTTCATTCCGACCGTTGCACCCGCGGCTCACGTGTTGCTTCAAACACGATAATTTTGCCACTTGTGCGAGGAAGCGGTCGGTATTACGCAAGTAAATGATGTTAAAAGAAAAAGATTGTGTAATATAAAGTTGGAAAATATACACTGAGAGAACAGTATATTAATAGTTAATATACATGCTTTGTCGTTAATGTAAGAATTTTTTATGTCCGTCCCTAATAAATATTTCTTTATAATTAATATATGCTATATTGCGTATCACTGAATATACTATTACATTTATCAGTATAAAAATAATATTACTTATAATATAATATTACTTAATAATATTACTTTCTTTGTCATAAATAAATGTATGTTTGCGTAAAATATTTTATCAATTTCGACAAATGAAATAATTTATTTGAGATTATTGATTATACTTATATTAATAATTAATATAAATTTGTTAATTACAAAGACATTACATTTAATATACATACAATTTCATATAAATTGATGGTATTTTTACTATACAGTTACGTATATTATTATTAAATATTACGAATTTACATTGACATTTGTATATTTCTGACAAAGATATCAAGTCTAAACTCATGGTATATTAATAATTAAAAAATTATTTCTCTCAGTGTAAAAAGGAGAAAGATTCGAGATCTTTGTTTCTGTTAACGAGAGAAAGCGATTATAGAATTTTGCGTTATACTTTACGTTTTCAATTTACTTTAATCCTCATCAAGTATGTAACTACAAATGGAAATATTAGTTTATGAAAAAAAAATAATAAACACGTATGGCATGCGCATGGTCAGTGAAAATATATGTTTTCCTCGGACGCGCTCCTTCGGACGTAAAATGACAAATGACGTTACAGAAAATTAATATCCGTATTCGATTAATATCCGTATTCGTAAAGGAATGTTCGCGGTGTCTCTGTCTCCAGGCGCCAATATCTAAGAGAACAGATAAGCAGCGTCCTTTAGCGCGAAGACGAGCTACCTAGCTCGAAGATCAACTTGACTAACCAATGCTCTTGCGATTCAGAGCAATTTATCACGAGCGACAGCTGAAAGCTTCTACGACATTACTCAGGACTTTCTCTCCGTTCTCTCCTCTCTCTCTCTCCCCCCCTCTCCTCCTCTTCCTCTCTTTCTCCCTCTCCCCCCCCCCCCCTCTTCTTTCTGTCACTTTTTTGTCCGCGCTGGGCGGATTCATCCCGCAACTCCGATGTATGTAGCCGACAAGGTGTATAGCCGCGAGATCATTACTCCGGAATTATCCGAATGCCCATAACTTCTCCTCGCTAAAACTCCGGCTCGCGGGGCCGAAATTCCGACTGGGGGGAATTCCAGCGGCATTTTCGGGATTTCTCCGCTATTCGGCGGTTACCCCGTACCCGTAGTTATCTCGCTTCGTGGCCTACCTTGCATATCGGTAGGGGATTACGCGGGTACACGGCCTGGCGTTCGCGTCGCGTTCGGTTGTACGCGGTCGTCCCGGCTATATCCGGGAGCATAATAATTTGAAGATGAATGAACTGTTGCAAAGCCATTGGAAGTTGATCCCGCGCTGTATAAACATGCTCGCGGGATAATGCTGCCGCCTGCATATTGAAATAGTTGCTGGTAAACTATGTTAATACCTGTGTCTTAAACTTATGCGAGTTGCTCTCAGTTTTCTATTATAAACCGAGAGCAGTATTTAATTGTATTAAATAACACGTATCATGGACAGGAATCTTGCGTTTTGCTTTGTTTGGAATGTCCAAGAGTGAATTATTCGCGATGGCTTTACAAAAAACCTCTTTAGAGCATTAACTTCTTCTTCACGGGGTGAGCGTGCGGTTTTATTAAGCCATCCTTTATTCGCTGCGAGAGTAAAACCACTACCACTCCACTTGGAGAAGTCCTCCAAGTAGTTTTTGCCATGGACGTAATTGGCAAGCCATTATCTATAACAAAGACATTACTGGATTTTCTGTCTATTCAGACAATTCGATTAATTGAATCGGATTGATTCGAAAATGGATGATGTCAAACAAAAAAATTAAAAAAATATACGGGGGATAACAGAAAATAATTTATATTTAGAACATGCGAAGCAAAAGAAGGATTTGATATAAAAAACTGATGCTAATTTTTTAGATTCTGTAAAAGTTAAATTACTATGCTTTAATATGAAAACTATTATATCGTCAACGTTAATGTTTTTAATAGAAGTATTTTTTCAACAAACAAGCGAATATTAATAAGGGGGCATGCTGTAATTAATGTTCTTCAATCATCTGACTATTACATAACTTTAGCAGACGATTTATGATGATAAAGTAATTATATACCACAATGAAATTCCATTTGAGCCAAATTGTTGATTACATAGTTTGTTCGGATGGACCATCAAGTTATTCTTAACAATGTTAAATAAACTTTAAGCATATATTTTTATATTTAATATAAAAATATATATATATTTATATATTTTTATATTTAATATAAAAATATCTATACAACATTTTTAAAAGAGTCTTTTATACATTGTATGTTTGCCGCTATTAATAAATAGTATAAAGGTATACTTACTTTTCTATTAAATAAGAAATATTATTGTACGCATATAAATCTTTCATACGTTACTAGTTGTGTAAGTGCAAATAAGTAATATATGCACAATATTTTTGTTTCAGGCTGAAATCTGGAGCGTCTTTATTGCGATTTTGAGAAAAAGCGTCAGAAACTTACAAGCATGTACGGATGTGAGTCTCATAGAACATGTTCTGCACCGATTATCTCGTGCGGAAACTGTTGTTGCTGGTTAGTAAATATTTCAAACGAGTATATATCATTAATAAAACGTAGAAATAACTGAATTTTTTCTAGTATAACAAAAATGTGTAACAGAGTTCTGTATTCTAGCAATATAAATGATACTAATTATCAGGGTTGGGAAGTAAGGCATTAGGTACTTATAACGCCATTACCATTACAGTTACTTTTTTTATAACTGATTGATAACAGCGTTACTTTTTTCTTTTTGTAATTGTAACGGTAACGAAGGCTGCATTCCGATATTCACTGTCATTACTGAAAATCTATATTTTTCAATATTTTACATCACATATACTACAGATTTTTAGTACTGACAGTTGCTGACAGTAAATATCAGAATGCAGCCGTAGTTATATTTTTTCAGTAACGGTAACGAATTTAACAGTTACTTTTCTCATTACTTTTTATATTTTGAATCTATTAATGATACAATTTTCATATATTTAATCTTCCGTCTTCGACTGATGTTCATAGTCCGTTGTTATATTTAAGATCGTCTCAAGAATAGTTTTAAGATATATCACAAGCCAATCACAGAGTCATATTAGTATAAGAACAAACTTTATGAATACTGGTTTTGATATGCGCGTTTTTTCATGTTAAAAATTTTAAACATAAAATTAAGGGTGCAAAAAAGTATAAATTTATAAATGCATTTATAAATTTTAATAAAAACTAAAATTTTTTATTTGTATTTTGAGCATTATAGAACTTTTCTCTTTAAATTTTTTGTGGCTTGCGATTTAAAATATAAAATGTTATTGGTTTTATTAAATTTTTAACAAAAAATATTACAAAAGTAAATTTTTTAGTCCGTGATCTCGTTTTAGCATTAAAAAAATAACGGAAAAGGTAACGAATCGTTACTTTTTAAGTAACAGTAATGGTAACGAACTTTTAGTTATACTTTTTTAAGAATCAGTAACTAGTAACGGTAACTAGTTTACTTTTAAAAAATAACTTTCCCATCTCTGCTAATTATGTATCATGCATGATATATATAAAAACTTGCTACTGTTTTCTTCTAACTAATTATACATTCTTTGATAATATCTTAAATATTTTGTATATTGCGACAGACTTGTTAATCGATATGCTGGGAGTGCTAGCAAGCTACAGCATAACGGTGAAAGAATTGAAACTTTTGTTCGGCGCTATGAAATCCGTTAAAGGAAAGTGGGTAAGAACTTTTAAGGTTTAATTAGATTCTTTCAAGATTGCAAATATATATTGAATTGGATAAACATTATCGCAAGAATATTTATTCAATAGATATATTGAGCGAATACATTAGATACACTAAGATTACTAAAGCAGCGTTTACGTTTTATAGCCACGGCATTCGGCGAAACTACTAAACGTCCTCCGCCAAATGCCGCAGCGAAATGGGCCCGACGTATTTTTCAGTTTCCCCGGCAGGAAGGGGTCGGTAAGTTCTTTTCTTGTTCGTCTTTATCTTAGAACAGATACTTCTTACTTTACGACATCCCTGAGGACGTCGTTCGATTCTAAACTCGATCAAAGTTCCGATAAAAGAATTTACCCTCGCGTCGTAAGATTCCGCTATACCCGCTTACATTTTCGAAATCAATCACGGTAAGAAACTTTCCTCTCGAACGTTATTACCGCATATTCAATCAATACGTACTCATTCTAGAGTGTTTCGATTTAAATTGAGGCAATATAAACATTTATTTTTGTATATTTAATACTTATCTAATATAGTTTATATAAAAGACAAGAAAAGAGTTTTGTATTAGATAAGAAGAATTTATAGCGTTTAATAAGAAGCAATAAAGTTCAAGATTTTCATCATCTAAGTATTAATTTCTCCTTCTAATTATATGAAAAATGACACTTTACATATAGTCTAGATCAGTTAATCTTGACGAAGTTTGCAAACTAAAGTTATAAGCTGTACTTATAATAAGACGCACCGTGCTAATTAATATCGAGCAACAATGTATAGTGACAATCTTTTTTTTCTTTTTTCTCGTATCCTTATTTTATATTCAAATCAATTGTATCCTGGAAAAAATATACGCATATAAAGTCGTAGTTGAGTATAAATTTATATCAATAACGAGCACCGTTATAATTTTGCTTTTTAACTTTAAATGTAGTAAACATTACGACACTCCGAAACAGCATAACTATTAATTAAATTATTGATGCAGTTTAGAGTTTGTTGGAGTTTTTCGAAAAGCTTGTTAGAGAGTAAAAGCTCATTACATGAAACGTGACAAATATTGTACATTCCGTGAATGGAAATAGGATAAAATAATATTTGCAATATATACGTTTAGAGAAAATAAAATCAAAGTTGAAGTCAAGCAGCATGCGTACAACTTCCATTGTACATTACGAATATTGACGTAATATCTATTTTATTTATTGAATATCAAGGAAAGTTGAGAACGGAATATCATAATCAATTAAGAACAATTAAATCACCAATATTAAATTTAATATTGCGTTGTTCCGTTGAAATTATGTGGAATATCTTGATGAGAATCTTTATATCTTTTTTTACGTCTCCTAGGCGATTGTTTTGCCGCCGCTTGCAAAGTGGCCGCACGAGAATGGATTTACTTTTACCACATGGTTCCGCCTAGATCCCATCAACTCTGTTAATATCGAACGAGAAAAACCGTACCTCTACTGGTAAGTGCTCTCACATCAAGCACCCTTACAAAAGTACTCTCTTCAGGTGGAGCGGCGGCCCTAAAGAATCACCTATGTTTCTCAACTACGAAGAAAGCACTCAGACATTTCAATTAAACTCATTAAATGTGATTCTGTTGGCATACATTTGCAACGAGAATAATGTTCAAATTTTAAATTGTCTCGCTCTAATTTTATTCACAAAATAATTATATTTATATATATGTAATTTCCACTTTATCTTTCGAATTGCGTTTTCTTATGTCAAAATAAAAGTACAGGGCATTACAAGAGGCGAATACGAGTAAAACAGTTCAACGATAGAAAGTAACATTGCTCTCTTTTTGTCATTTTAGCTTTAAAACAAGCAAGGGAGTAGGATACTCTGCGCATTTCGTAGGCAACTGCTTAGTCCTGACTTCTATGAAAATAAAGGGCAAGGGCTTCCAACATTGTGTCAAATACGAATTTCAGCCACGAAAGGTATGCCATTAATATACTTTTAAATTGACATGTACCCGCATATAGAAAATTTTTTGTGTACTGTACGTGGAAAATATCTTTATTTTACAGTGGTATATGATCGCGGTAGTGTATATATACAATAGGTGGACAAAAAGTGAAATTAAATGTCTGGTCAATGGCCAGTTGGCGTCGAGTACAGAAATGACATGGCACGTTTCGACGAATGACGTGAGTGTCCGCAAATATTTTTTTACATCAATAATCTTCTCTCGCCGATAAAACGATTTGAAGAAAAAAAAATGGCAACGTCGTTTTACAGCCTTTTGACAAATGTTACATTGGAGCAACCCCCGAACTGGACGAAGAGCGCGTGTTTTGCGGACAAATGAGTGCAATATATTTATTCAGCGAAGCACTGACAACGCATCAGATATGCGCGATGCATAGACTGGGGCCGGGATATAAGGTACGCTGTAATCTCTCTCCCTTTCTCTCTCTCTCTCTCTCTCTCTCTCACACACTCTCGCCGTTGCTATGTGCTATAGGTATATATGTGAATAAATCTTTAGTTAAACGCGAACATTTTTCGACCTTTTATTCGTGAACGAATATTTATCATCGCTTTTTCGATCCCGTGCGCAGAGCCAGTTTCGTTTCGACAACGAGTGCTACCTGAATCTGCCCGACAATCATAAAAGGGTGAGTGAGCAGGATCTCTCTACGAGCATGGTGGACCAAAGTATGCAAATTGTAAGCATTTTGATTTTATTTTTCCGTTAATATATGATTTGTACTTTGTTAATTATTCTGTTACTGCGTTCGAGTTCATCTGAGGTAATTACCCAATTATGACCACCGATTTTTCTTGGCGGCCACCGCGGCCTGATAAGTTTATCGATTTGTTTGATATTATTTGTTTTGGAAAAGTCGATTTATTGTGACTGTGAGGCCCAGTTCCACAAACGTCGGTTAACTTTTAATCTTAGGTTAATCTTAGGTACTCTTCGCCTCTTTCGTGTATCCATTTCTGTGCAGGTTAACTTTAATCTCGGTTTAATTCATTTTCTAATTTTGAGAATTAGAAAAGATAGAAAGTAAGTTAAACCGAAATTAAAGTTAATCTACATTGGTAGAAATGGACATAAGAGGGACGTTAGAAAAAGACAAAGAGTGAGTTAACTTAAGATTGCCTAAGATTAAAAGTTATAACCGTTTGTGGAACTGGGCGTGAATCTTACATTATATATGTTATATTAATAATGTATGTACATTTTTGTGCGTATCTTATTTTTTTTTATTTTCCTTTTCTTTACTTACTGGATGCTCTTTCTTAATTAACGAGTGTCACAGAATGAACTTAGTAATGTGCAAAGTACTTTTGTTGTAAGCATCGCTTTACATATATTATATATTGTATTTTTTTGTACGATTTAATTTGAGATGCTAATGGGTATCCTAATTGGTAGTAAGTAGCAGTATAAATATGGAGTAGCGTTGAATTATTGATTATTGCTTTCAAGTATGTGTTTTTGGTGTATTTATTTACATTATGTAGTTAGTATCCAAGAGATTTATATCCTGGTGAGATTGAATAATGTAGTGCATTTACCTTGATGTCATAGTAATATATTGTAAATTATTCGGAATATAAATATTGAAAGTTTTCCGCGCGGGAGATCAATAATTTTATTAATTTATTATTTTATATATAATATTTCAGGTACTTTATGATGGAAAATTGTCGAATGCAATTGTGTTCATGTACAATCCAGTAGCGACAGATTCGCAGCTTTGTCTACAGAGCGCACCGAAAGGCAACATCTCTTATTTTGTACATACTCCGCATGCTCTCATGCTACAGGTATAGTTTATTGTTGCTGTTAAACAGAGATAGATTCAACACTATAGATTTACCACAGAGATAGATACATAGAATTACATACGCTTTTTATTTATTTGTAAACAATATGTGTAGAATAAATTTTAGATGTAACGTATATAAATAAAAATATAAAATAGATAAGAAATTTTTATTTCGGCTTTCAGGATGTCAAGGCAGTCATAACACACTCCATTCACAGCACGTTGAACTCGATAGGTGGTATCCAAGTACTGTTCCCATTATTCTCACAGCTGGATATGCCTTATGACTGCATAGCGCCGAACGACATTAAGCGCGATCCCACATTATGGTAAAGCTTATTGATAGTTACCGCTTTGCGAAGCCATACATTTAAATAGAAGGCATTAACGAGAAACATCGACGTCATTTTTTTTTTCAGTTCGAAACTGCTCGGGTTTATTTGCGACTTGGTAGAGACTTCTCAAACCGTTCAACAACACATGGTACAAAACAGAGGATTTCTGGTAATAAGTTTTATGCTACAGAAAGCAAGTCGAGATCATCTTACGACGGAAGTGCTTGCATCCTTCTTGGAGCTCACGAAGCATTTAGTGACTTGTCTTAGCGCAAATAGCGATTTATTACTGAAGCAGGTACTGATTTATCAACAAATTATTATTTGCTAATATTCTATTAGACGTATTAATATGATAAATATATCGATAAATATATTTATATTGATATATATGCAGTTAAGATAATTGCATCTTGATTGTCCTTGTTCGGCTTAATTTGACTAAAAGAATCGTTAAATCTTTTTAATTATAACTTTGATACGTTGTAATTTATGCAATTTGCGATTATCTTAGCTGATGATAATAGACGATAATAGACGCTTACATATTAGATTTAGAAGAGTTAGTGTAAAATAAAAATCCCTGCAATATGAAAATTAGGTAAAATAATTTCCATAAAAGATTAAATAAAATAGAAAATCATTAATAGAAAAAATAAAGATATTAATTATTGTAGACAAAACAAAATTTAGTCACATAGTAACATTTATTTTATTTAAATACTAAAGAAAGAAGATTACGTGCTTAACATCATTAGTTGTTGATTAAGTTCTGGAGAATCAAAAACTCTTCATCCATGCATATCTAGCTATAATTTTTCATTTATAAGTGATTTTATTTGCCTGTACATGCATGGATTATGTTCATTTTGGTTCAATTTCACTAAAATGTCAATATCAATGCATCCCATTCCTTCAATTTGCGTTATCATCTCTGCTATGTAATATAATAGCTTCCACGCTTTCATCGCAATTGCTCCCACCGAAATGTTTGCCAATATCATATACGTGTGTATTTATGTATGTGTTTAATATGCATTTTCGTACCATTGAGATTTTGTTAAAGGCTTTTCAATAAGCCCGTCGTAAGCATGTCTAATCTTCTTTGATCATTATTGTGTTATTCAAACTTCGGATCGCATGCAATCTACCGACTTTTGAGCTTCCTGATTTGAGAGAAGTGGCTACGCAAAGTATTTTGTTCGTAATGTTGCTTTTACATCAAAATTCATAATCCTTTTTTGCGACGCTAAGAATCTTCGTCTATCTCTGCTGTATCATGAAAATTTATATTTTTCTATCTTTAAATATATGCACTGTCATCAAAATCTCGTTACATTATTATTTTCGATTATGCACAGATTTTCCAGCGGCAAAATTAATTCTGTTACTTAAATACTAATCGTACATTTAATATATGTTTGATTTGTTTGCAGTTTAATATAAATAATATAATATGATATTAATACAGTATTAATACAGAATCGATGTATTTCTTGGGTAAACGTGTCTTTTATAATATAAAATAATTATATTATTAATTGTGCTAAATCAATAGAATTTTCCGATTTTCAGAATACATATGCATTGTACGTTCTAAATTTATGTTTTTAATATTATTCCTCGAGTTTTTTCCAATTAATATAAATGCACGAACATCCATTTGCACTCGTCATGTTTTATATTATCTAAACTGTTACACAATTATTGTTGTTGTTTATGACAGCAATACTATCTGCACTTTATCTACCATTGCTTCAATCATAAGTTTAATAATTTGTGTTTGATATTTGTACATTGTTTTTCTCTCCACATATAGACAGTTATTTTTTTTCATTATATTTAAAATATATATTCAATAATATTTTTAACTATTGTGTCTATTATTTGACATCGTATCCACATACGTCAATTGTCAAAACTGAAAATAAAGTAAATCGGAATAAAATAAAAAAGTAATTTAATATATTTACGCGACAAACAAACTCTAGATAATTAAACCGTGCAAATTATATATATTTATATATATATTAATACAAATTAAGATAATAGTATATGGCTCAGATAAATATAAAAGTCGGCTAGATTGGTGTGTCCGAAGAACAGGCAGATCCATGGTGATGTAGTTGTTTTATTTTTCATTCCTAACATGGCAGCTACTGGATCACGTTCTTTTTAATCCTGCTCTGTGGATATATACGCCAGCGCCAGTTCAAACACGGCTTTATTCATACTTGGCTACAGAATTTCTTAGCGACACGCAAATCTATTCCAATGTGAGACGCGTATCGACAGTTCTGCAAACCGTACACACACTGAAATACTATTACTGGGTAGCTAATCCTCGCGGCAAAAGCGGAATAACACCAAAAGGACTCGGTACGTTATTTAGTCATTTAATATTGACAATGCAACTTCATCCCGAACGTATAAAATGTAATGCCTTATACGCAAATTTATTTCTTATAGATGGACCGCGACCACAGCAGAAAGACATTCTTGCAATTCGTTCTTACATCTTATTATTTTTAAAACAATTGATAATGATCGGCAACGGTGTAAAAGACGACGAATTACAAAGCATACTTAATTATCTAGCAACGATGCACGAGGTAATTTAATAACGATGATAATGAAAAATGATAATACGTCATCAAGTACATTCTTTAAATTCTGCGACCATTTTTAGGATGAAAATTTGCACGATGTTTTGCAAATGCTGATATCTTTGATGTCGGAACATCCGTCATCGATGGTACCCGCATTTGATGCGAAACAAGGAGTACGAACGATTTTCAAGATTCTGGCAGCTGAAAGCCAACTGATACGTCTGCAAGCGTTAAAACTGCTAGGATTCTTCCTTAGCCGCAGCACACATAAGTAAGTAGTTTGTCATATAGATAATTCATGCGATTAAAATATCTTTAAAGAAGATATTAATATTATTCAACGCACGCAGACGAAAATACGACGTCATGAGCCCGCATAATCTGTATACGTTATTGGCTGAAAGGCTCTTATTGAACGAGGAAACACTCTCATTACCGACATACAATGTTTTATACGAGGTACTGATCTTTTACTTATAAAATAATTTTTGCTTATTAAATTTCTACTTCAAATTTTTAAATTTCAGATTATGACCGAGCACATCAGTCAACAAATATTGTATGCCAGACATCCTGAACCTGAATCTCACTACCGTTTAGAAAATCCGAGTAAGCTGAGAATTTATAGCGATGAATTTATATACAATGATGAAACCCCTGAACATTTTTCATGTATTAATCTGTTTATATCCCTTTCAGTGATCCTGAAGGTAGTCGCAACATTAATTCGACAATCAAAACAAACGGAGCAGCTGTTGGAAGTGAAGAAACTATTCCTCTCAGACATGACGCTGCTCTGCAATAATAATCGGGAAAATCGACGAACGGTCCTGCAAATGTCTGTATGGCAGGAATGGCTTATCGCCATGGCTTACATCCATCCGAAGAACACCGAGGAACAGAAGATATCCGACATGGTGTATTCCTTATTTCGCATGCTTCTTCATCACGCTATCAAGCACGAATACGGTGGCTGGCGTGTATGGGTTGACACGCTGGCTATCGTGCACTCTAAGGTGGGTTTGTGAAATATTGCTGTTTCGAAACGATTTTAATGCTCTTACTGATGTACGCAGGTATCCTATGAGGAATTCAAACTTCAGTTTGCCCAAATGTACGAGCATTACGAACGACAGAGATCCGACAACATTACGGATCCTGAGCTAAGACAGCAGAGGCCGATCAGCACGATTTCCGGATGGGATCAGCAGCATTCCATAAGTAACGGATACAATAGACCAGCAGCGTGGGGAAACCAGCAAAATCACGAGATACAGCATATGGAAAGAAATTACAAGGTAGTTTAAAATATAGTATAATTTTATTCTAATAAATTCTTATTTTGCGTTTTTAGCAATTTTCTTTATTTACGGATGAATGCGTTATCTCAATATTTTTATGATTGTATTGTAAAAAGTTTAACAATATATACTTTGCTCTTAATAATATTTTGTATTATAATGCAGGAGTTTGATTCATCCGAGGCAAATGATCGATTGGAAGAATCCTGTAGCTGCGATCTTAATTCAATAGACAATACCGAAAGCGACGGTAGTCCGGCCATCGTGAAATCGCGCAGCGAGACCTTGGACACTCTGCAATCATGCGAGGTGGTGTCGTTGGACTCCAGATTGAGCGACAAACCGGAAACACCGACTACCGCGCGCGAGACTCACACGGAAACACCGACGATCCTCGAAGAAGCAAACAGCGAAGCCGTCTCGTTGCCGACAACGCAAGAGACCAGCGAAGTAATATCAATTGAGAGCTCTAGCGACTTCTATAGCGAGGTGCACAAAATCGAGAGTTCTAGCCCTGATTCAATGATAGTTCAAGACACGTTGAAAAAGGAGGAAGACACAGTTCCTGAGAAACAATCAGTTGCTGTTACCGAATCAGTTACTGAATCTTCTTCAACAGAACCGACCAAGGAAAGCACAGAAGCGACAGTTGTTGAATCAAAAGACTCGAAGGAAACTGTGACAGATACAAATATTCCCGACACAGTTTCCACAACAGTAGACAAAGTTGAAGATCCACCGGTTGCGGATGAGGAAGTGAAGGATAACTCTACCGAGGAGAATAACGTTACGACCGACGACAGTAACACACCGACCAACACTGAAGATTCCGACAAGACTGCAACAGCAATCGAAAACGCGGCCGACCCTGTCGTTTCAAAGGGCGATGCCGATGCCGACACTGAAGAAGATACCGTGCCAATTGTCCCTTCTGACGAAACGCGGGAACCGTTAACGGTTAAAGTTATTGAGAAGCTCCAGTTGGAGAGCGATCGCGAGGTAATCGATAGCGACACGTCAGAGGCGTACTTGACGCCAACTGAGAATCAAGAAATATCGAGTGAGATAAAAAGCAGAACATCCGAAGGTGAGAAAATCGATGACGACACCGTCGAGAAGAAGGAAGACATTTCCGAGGACAGGGACATTACCGCTGAGACTGGTGAGAACGACGCAGGGGAAACTGTAAAAAATCCTAATTGCTCAACTAGCATAGTAGAAAGCGGTGAGGCTTGCACGGAGAAGGCGGTAGATCTAGGAAGCGAGAAGGTGGAGCCCGTAATAGTGAATAGTGCGTTAAGTAGTGACGAACGCGCCGTGGATTCTTTAACGGAGGACAAAAGTGCTGTTATTAATGATAACGAAGACGCGGAGGTAAACGAGAAACACTCAAGGGAGCCGTCCACTATTTCTACTAGCGTAAGTGATAATAAGTCAGACGTTCCGACGACGACTGGCGAGGTAGAAGTTACAGATAGTGTTTGTAGTAATAGCGATGTTCAAAGTTCTGTAGATAATGTGACGCAAGTGCCAAATCCTAAGCAGCAAATCCCAACAATATCTACGGTCTGTGATGCAACTAAAAGTTTATCCGACGGTGTGCCTCAAATCGTTAGTTCTAATGTGGTTGCCAGGGACAATGCGTTATTGAATGACTTAACTCCAGATCACGTAGACACCCACCGCAGATCCAGCCTGCCGATCGTCTCCTCGGAAATGGTCGCGGACGATAACGGTCACGAGCCACCCTCCTTGCCTGTGCCCTTACGAAAGACATCGTCACCCCAGAAACGACCAAGGAGTGCCTCTACGTCCACGCAGGTGGATCCTAATCATTTCGGTGAGTTGAAAAAAAAATAGAAACTAATTGTTTCATTAATAAAACTGCATCTATATTTTTATGTCTTCTTTTTATCGCAGAAGCCAAAAGATCGAAGCAAGGAAATCCCTCCACGCGGCCAATGTTCAGTCCAGGCCCGACACGACCTCCATTCAGAATACCCGAATTTAAATGGTCATACATACATCAACGGCTGCTGTCGGACGTGCTATTCTCTTTGGAAACAGACATTCAAGTGTGGAGAAGGTAGGATATGCAATGTTGCGCACATATTAACGATATATCAACTTTGTCGGAATATTCTATTATAATTTCTATGTTATAGTCATTCAACGAAGTCTGTATTGGATTTCGTAAACAGCAGCGAAAACGCCATTTTCGTGGTGAACACTGTCCATCTAATTTCGCAGTTAGCCGACAATCTCATAATAGCTTGCGGCGGTTTGTTGCCCTTATTAGCGTCGGCCACTTCGCCAAATGTACGTAAACCGTTCTGATGTACCTATGCCATTAAAAGATAAAATATTTTTGCGACCCTTAATTTCTAATCAATGTCTGAATGCCTTCTAGAACGAACTGGATGTAATCGAGCCAACTCAGGGGATGCCAATTGAAGTGGCAGTTTCTTTTTTGCAAAGACTGGTCAACATGGCCGACGTACTTATATTCGCTAGCTCGTTAAACTTCGGAGAACTGGAGGCTGAGAAAAATATGTCGAGCGGTGGCATATTACGACAATGTTTACGACTGGTTTGTATTACTGCATCGGTATTTTATGGGTACAGAATGAGATGATAAACCTTGTTAGAATAGTTAGACATAGTTATACTAGTATTATTATACAGAGTTTATATATGGTTAAACAGTTTAACAAGTCATTTGTCGATTTAGGAAAATATATTGAATATTAGTGCACAGTGTGTGTTTAATTTATGCACTTGACGGAATATAGTATTTATAATATGTGAAGTTCAGTCTAGAAAGAAACTTGTAAAAATTATTATCAACATCAAGAATTTTTTTGTTTTAGTTTCGCTTTCCGCAATGTCGTCGTGTTACATGTGCAATTAATTTTTAAAGAGAAATACGGTTCTTATATAGAAATATTTAAATTATAGTTTAGTGTGTTACATTTTTTATTTATGTTTATTTTAGTGAGAATATATACATAATACATATACATGATACTTATGGCATGCATATGTCAGACTATACAGTATAGATTAACATGCACTTCAAAAATACAAAATATAGCATGTAAAATTTGCTCAATCTCATCTATACGAATAAAAAAACTAAAATTTTCTTTTAATAATAAATATCCACAATTAGTAGAAATTATTTTAGTAAAAACATTAATTATTCAATTGATTTTTGCTTGATAAGCTATTGCCTGATAAAGGAATTTTTTTCGATTAAGGATATTGAAATACAAATGAAGTCGTTTGAAGAAAAACGACTCCCGAGCGAAGCCCGGGTAACCAGCTAGTTATAATAATAAAATTCTTGACAAATGATTATAATTTTATAAAATTATTAAAATTAATAACATCATATCATAATAATTATTTATAAATTTAAATAAAATTGAATTTTTTATCTATCACGACTTGATATGAAAAATTGACGAGTAAGTTTACCATGTCGATTGTAACATTTATAATCGTAGTTCCCAAAAAGTAAGGTACAATTAATTCAAATGTTCTTAGCATTGACATATACCCCAGTTAGAAATTTAATATGTACATTCCCACAACATTTTTTGTTGTATTTACCTAATAAACTGCTTCTATAGGTCTGTACATGTGCCGTTAGAAACTGCTTAGAGTGTAAAGAACGTGGCAGATCGTACAGCATGTTAGGTCGGCAGATTGGTTCTAGTAATAAATCACAGCACATACAATCACTTATACGCGGGGCTCAGACATCGCCTAAGGTACGTTCTATCCGATCAAACTCAATTTAATAATTGTAACATTAATAGGCGCAACACATTATACTTTTTCCCTTCAATTTCCATTTGCTAAAGAAAAAACATTTTGTTTGTAGCTATTAATATTTTATAATGAATCGAAATATTCTTTATTTATAGAACATCGTGGACAACCTTACGCATCAGTTAAGTCCTGTGAAGGATCCCGAGAAATTGCTGCAAGACATGGACGTAAATCGTTTGAGAGCTGTGATATACAGAGATGTTGTAAGTATGCGATATTTCATAACAACGATAAAATGATATTATCACGTTATACGTTATAAGACAGAAAGATTAATTAAGTCACGTATACGTTAATTTCAGGAAGAAACCAAGCAGGCACAGTTTCTGTCCCTTGCTATAGTTTACTTCATCTCTGTATTGATGGTCTCCAAATATCGCGACATATTGGAACCGCCAATATCGCAGCGCCCACCAAGTCCAGTGCAAACAATACAGACAAATGGTGCCGGTCTCAGGCCAGGTAGCCCTTCAGGTGAGATCCTCGTGTCTTACTGGCATCACTAACACTAATGCAAAAGATAATCTGTGTAAATATTGATACACAAGATTCACTAAAGATAAATTTACTTTTAATTATTATACAATGAGAGTAATTAAATATGATCTTACAATTTACGAATGATTACAAGATAGCATATACAGCAACTTTACATATTAGTTATTGTTTTTGCCATAGTTTCTACAAATTGTCTATTACTGGGTATGCACTCTGCAAAGAACTTATAAATTAGAAATTAGAAATTATGAAAAAGATAATACAAAGAATAATATAATAATATGCTATTCCATGTCGATAACATGGTGTGCTTTTATTTAAAAAATTTATCAATTATTTGATATTTATAATTGTGTTTATTAGATCATCGTCTATTATCATAGAAAAAATTATTGAGAAATTATATTTAATTTTCATGTTATTATGATTTGCACGTTGAATACTCATTTGCGTAACACTTCCCTGAAAAAGAATTAAATTTAAAGAATTCTTCTGTTTACTCAAAACTCTTATGTGTCAGATATATATTATCTTATCTTTCATTTTAAAAATTATAGTATATAAATGAATTCAATTCAATTCGTAAAATAATTGATAATTAATTTCCGATGCTACAGCATGACTGCAGCTATATAAATGTATGGAAAAGAAATTTACAATATATATCTCGTAAGAGATATTTTATCTGCTTACTGTTTGGATAGAATTAAATTTATATCTTTCTCGAAATTTTAATTAATTGGTACATTGCTGCTAAAAAATGATTATGCAATTTTTTAAGCTTCGAACAGTGGATTAACTGGCTAAAAGTTTTCTGTCATAATAATGTTAATGAATGAAATATGATGAATGTTTTAAATAGCATATATGTACAGATATGTAGCTAATGTGTTCAACACTGTGCACCAAACGATGTAGCTGCAACTAAGACAACAGCACATGACACCAAGTAGAACGCATGTGTTATTGCACTGTATGAAGTAAACATTTTTATATGTATCTGACAGTGAGAGTTTTGATGTTTGCCGAATGTGTTTGCACTTTTTTTTGCGTTACGAATATACTTATGCCATTATATAATTGTTGTTATATTCTCTTGGATGTGGAACTTCTTTATATGGAAAATTAAAAAAGAAAAATGTTTCTATGATATCTCTATGATTGTTGCTATACGATTAATATTTGAACGTTTAACAAATTAAGAAATTTTGTGAAATAAGTTCTTTTAGAATGTTATACTCTACGCGGTTGTTACATATTACAAGTGATGTGATATAAAACTTGAAATTTGTAAACAATACATTATTTTTTTTGTCATTATGTTAATCTTTCTTTGTTAAAATTTATAGTATGTTACACATCAGAAATAAAAATTATTAATTACAAATTATTTACGATTTATAAAGTAATACATATTTAAAGTGATAAACTGTTATTTACTGAATTTCACTCTATTAATGTTAATTAAACTTAATATTCTTTCAAATATACTTTTTTGTGATCTTTAAATGTACACAACAAAAAGCAAGTTTTCTCTAATAATTAAATGTTTATATATTCTTATATTGGAATCTTGTAATATATTTTTATGCTACTCTTTGACATTCTAATTCTTTTCTAAAAACATTAAAAACTACATTTTTAATTATGTCGTGATTATTTTTGAATTTTCAAGATAAAAAATTGTATATGTACTTCGCTGCGTATATAGATAATTTTTTGCGAGAATGTTGATAATTTGCTATGGCATAATTTCGGAAATGAGAGCTTTAAAATGAGCAGACATTGATCATACTGCTTGTTCGTGATTTTATTAAACGAATGCATAGAGTGAAGGACAGTATCACAAAAAAGTACGCTATGGATCGCGTGTGACTGAAGTGATATAGCGCACGACCGGATAACGTGGTAACGTGGTAAATGTGGTTCCTCGGCAGATGGGAATGGTGGTGGAGGAGGGCGGCCCTTATTTCCACAGTGGTCTCACCACGTGTACCCACAGTTCCTCCCGGGATCTCACCCTAACGCCAATGCAAATGTCAATGCCAATGCCAACCATCACATCAACCAGCACCATCACCAGCACCCGCTACCGGCTGCCAGGCACTCTAATCGCCAGCCACCCTCTAACTATTACCTCCCGAATCACCACAACAATCACTACAATCATCATCCGAATAACCATAACTATCATCGTCATCATCACTATCATCATCACAATAACAACAACCACCACCATACGCTTCAAAAGCATATCGATCAGCCCCGAAATCTCTGTCATAGAAACTCCGGTGTCGGTCTGCAAGGTAACTCGAAAACCTGAAAGTTGTTTCACGGAATGCCCGAGTTCTTTTGGCCTGATTTATTGCGCATTACTCTTGTTTGTCCATTAATTTGCAAACTGCACGACGCTTGTCAATTGACGATGCGTAATTTTCTCGATGTTTTCTTGATGTTGTATACCAACGCAACCGATCCTTTTCCGCATTACAAAATTCATTTTTTTTAATTATCTTAAAAGAATATACATTTTACAACAAGCTAAAAATCTAAAAAGAAATTAATTTATTTAATTGACATGTTAATTTTTTTCTTTATTCCTCTCGCGATCATTTACACATATTAAATATCCAATCTGATTATTTTTTGTTTACTTTTATTATATTGTCATTTAAACTCGAACTTTTATTATAATTATAGTATTTAATTAATATTTTTCTAATAGATTCGCACACTGCATGCCGTACACAAAGCAGCCACTTTGAACTTGCAGCATATTGTCCCGCAAAAAATGAACTTAATAATCGTCCTATTCTACAGCATGTGGAATATGTATTTCCATTGCGATAAAATGCAGCTACAATATTTTATCGATAAAAATTAAGACACGCATGAGTATCCCCCTAGAAGTCAATGCGATGGATCACATAAACGAAATATGCCTAATTATTCGACAAATAATTTACTATTATTGAACGAAATACAATTGTCCCTGAATTTGACTTTTTGTCCATTTAATTTGTAGATTTTTATTATTATGTGTAATTTATACATCGATTGTGTAATATTCAAATACATATAATTCGAATCTTACATATACAATATGAATTACATATATTAGTTATTTTTTATAATTACCCGTTATCACTTGTTATTGCACATGATTCTTGTTTGTCCAATTTGCAAATTGCACGATGTTTGTCAATATCAACGAATCCACGCACAATTTTCTCGATGTTTTTTCGATGTTGTATCAACGCAACCAATCCTTATCCTATAATTACATTACCCGATAAATATAATTCAATATTTAAGAAACACTAGCTATTCTGAAAATTAAGATAAACATTCTCTAACATTAAATCCGTACTATCAAGAATTAATTGAGTACAATAAAAGCTTGTGTTTCTTATGATTAAGACAATTGAAAAATTAAAATGCCTGTTGTGTGCCTATGATTTATTTTGCAGCAATTTTGCGCAACCCTTTATATAGTACAAACAAAGAAGAATGTTCTGTGTTTCGTTTTCAATGTACCTACATGGATGTAACAATCTGATGTTACACATTTTTTACATTGTTAGTCTGCGAATTACAAAACAATATTAATGATCATTTTACACACCATGTACAAATGAAATCTTTCAATTAAATAAAATTGTTAAACGCATGTGTATGAATATCGATTGGCTTAGCAAAGAGAAAATCTTCATATTTCTCAATTTCTCATACCACATCTTAATCACGTGTTCTCAGGTAGCGGAGGTATAATGAGTCAATCGGGCTCTCAGGATGATGGCGAATATGAAGTCATCATCGTCGACGAAAACAATTCTTCGATTTTGGCCGATCACGACGTCACATCGTCCGGTCCGCCGTCGACCAAGGTAAGTTAACTTTGTTTGAAAAGTTGCAATTCTCCGAAATGTCAATACTGATCTGAAAAGAGCAACGGACACTTGTCCCCTACCGAACAAATTCGAAAGAAGTGAACACACCGAGAATAATTATAAATCTCAGGTAAAAGTTTGGCAAAGTCCGTCACGTATGAAACGCAATCTGATAGTGACAACATATAGTTTGATTATTTGGTATAAAAACGAGATGATTTTATACGAAGTTATAACAATTTTCTATACTTGAGACTGCATGCATTTCGATAGATCGAGAACGTAGACACGGAGATTTGATGTTTCAATCTGTCGCTTTGTACAACTCTACGTAGCGAGTATACGATATGCGGGTCTTTCTAAACAAATTCAACTCCGTTTTCTTCTAATACTGTCCTGAGTACCTTTCTCTTTATGCTCGATAGTTTCAAATGATATTCACAGCAGCGAAACTTTAGCACTCTTTCATCACGCACGATCTTATGGGGTATTCACGCAGTAATGACCAGATACTCGTGCTACCGCACAATGCTTTGCACTGATTTATTACGTGTATTGTTCGTCGTGCGATGATGACTTATAAAGTTTTTACTTCGAAACATTAAATATATACTTTGTAATTACGATAGACCGATTCATAGATAGCTACATTAGATTTACACGTATTAAGATTTGACAAGGTAAATTTACATTCATCCATGAATGTTTATCATACATTAGCACAATTCTACAATTATAACGTATTTTTTATTATCTATTCAGCCCCTATTGTGATTCTTAGGTGTAGTACTCGTTAGCTAATTCTCCTGATACAATTACGTGATTTCGAGACCTGCCGTAGTTGATGATCTCTTGTAATGCCCAGCATGTAGTGTTCACTTATCGATTGATGTCTTGCATCTACGTAGTCCCAGCGTAACGACCGTTAGCTCAATTTGTGATCTCTCGTAACTATATCTCTCGCACGTAACATCTATATCTCAAACGGATTCTCTGAAAATCGGCATTACCAGAGCGAACCCCAAAATCAGCCCGCGAAGTTCCGACACGTAATCGCACCTCCGAAAGTCAAGCCATTGTATCTATCTTTAATCCTATGCGAGCATGCGATACTCTGACTCTCGAATTTTTCTCATTGTTAACTTCCTCTGCTTGCATTGCTATGCGTACTAACTACTGGTTCTGAAGGGAGGTCACAGTGGTGTACCTCGGCCGCGGACTATTCTCGAGGATTACACCTCATCAGAACCAACGCTTGGCACTTCTACAAGGTCCGAACCACTGCCACGAAATCTGCAGGTAAAACTTAATTCGAGTACAGATCCGGATGTGTGGAGGAGCTCGTTGGCGGGAGCTCGATTCCCGAATTATGTCGCCGCGACCGGTTCGCGTTTTGGGTCGCGATCAGAGAAATGTGTTTTTAATTTGTTTTAAATTTCTCACTTCGTGAAAGAATGCGAGAGGAATACGCAACGTGCGATAATGCCCATTTGACGGGTGCAAGAAAGAGAGAGCGATATAACATCTTGATTCAAATCCTTCTCGACGCTTATGTAATGTTGTTATAATGTAAAAATAGCGGTCCTTACATGCGTATAACTTGGGTCTTATTATAGAATTAACAAGTTTGCTAACGAGGCTTGAATATATATGAGAAGCTTGGTTCTTTCTTTCTATAATATATTAGTTGATTGCGTATAGTAGTGGTGTACTACCGATTGCATGTAATGAAGTAAGTACATGGCACGCGAGAGTATATCATGAAGTGTGATTGTATGAAATTATCCTATGAAATGTTTCTGTAATAAAATCTAGCTATATATAAACTTTCATTAGTAAATTACTTCAGCATCGTAGTGACATTCTTAGGCCTGGAAATACATCTGAATAGTTTTACATAATAATTAACGACTGTTAAAAGGAATTTCTTGTTAATCCAAAATTCAGCAGTATAAAAAAATAAAATTTTAAATGCTACCACTTACATGCCGGTTAGAAAAAATAATTTATTTTATTATAAAAATATATAAATCTCCGTTTCATATATTTTCTAATCAATATCTTTTATTTAAAATGCCTCAATATTTTTCTAACAATTTATGATCGATTTTAATGATGACAAAATCCAATGTTTAATTCCTCCCTTTATTTTGATCGACTTTCTCCCAGAGCAATGACTCCAGTGAGGAGACAGTACATCGTAGCAATATCACCGCGGACCCAAGTCCTTCCGAAGTTACTACAGACAATGAAAACAAGCATAATTCATCCGAAGAAGCCTGGACAGACGTAAACCTTAATGAAGACGGTGATACGATGCCTATTACAAATCCAAGAGAAGACCCGCGAAACATTCACAATATTGCACACTCGCGCGGTAAGAGTCAAGTCAACTGGTGGCACTGTCACTTAATTGTGATTGATAAACAATCTTATTGAGAAAAATCTTTATCAATCTGATATGTAAAGCAAGAAACGTATTCTGAAACACGCAGGCGACATGCAAGACAGTGAGGGCAACGTTCTGGAACAAGAAATGCTGGGCAACACCGAACGCGGGGAGAAACCGTCGGCGGAAATCTCTGTGGTGAGGGTACCCGATCGGTTAGTGGTAACCGCAGCATCCCCGAGGGCCGACGAATTGCCGATCAAAGGTCTGGTCGATCATTTACCTGTACCGACACCTTCCCGCGAGGCCTCTCTCACGCAAAAGCTGGAAATGGCTTTGGGTTCGGTTTGCCCTCTCCTTCGAGAGATCATGGTGGACTTTGCTCCCTTCCTGTCCAAAACACTCGTTGGCTCCCATGGTCAAGAATTGTTAATGGAAGGAAAAGGTACGAGCTGCAAGGGTACGTCGAACGTACGATCATTCTGTGTTCGGTGTGTGCATGTTGCATATGAATCTGTGTAAGAAAACATTTATTACGAGCAAGCCAAGAAAAATTCTCTCTTCGAATATTATTTGATGATTTTAGAACAGTCTCTCTATAAGTTGCACTATAAATACATCGTGGTTTTATTATGTATACGCGCTTATAAAATGAGATGTAAAAGGAAATCACGACTCACATTCCACATTTTACGCGCGCGCGCGATATGATATAGAATGTCTGAAGCTCGATAAATAAAAAGGATATATTTCACGTTAGACTTTACTACACGGAGAACAGTCGTAGCATGGTCTATGTTTTCTAAGCGATGTCGAGATATATCACGCCCACGGATAAAAAAGAATCATAAAGTATTAAGAAACTAAAATTCAGTTAGCTTCATGTAGGCACAACATTTTCCGACATGATAAACAAAATTATTCTTTGTATTTATTCGTTATTTCTTCATATTTTATTGCGATAAGATATTTATTGCGAATATACCGTCAGCATTTTATAAGCGCGTTTTATTTTTTGCTCCCTTATATTTTCATTGATTGTTTAACATAATAAATTTTTTCATTAACATAACTTTTTTTTCTAAATATTGTATATATTATCATGTCAATAAATTTATTATCTTATTCGTAAACGCGTATCTAACAAACAAAACGTTTGTGATTAAATATTCCGAAATCGATGTATTATGGGCGCTTTAAAAGATAAAATAGCGATCATAAAAATAAGAATTCAACAATGTTGTTCGTGTAAAACTGTAAAATATTTAAAATCGTATATTTAGATATGCTTGCGTGATAAATAAAAATTTAGAGTCTATTTAAATGGGCATACTTGGCGGGACTTTCGTCACTTTTATGGTCTTTGGTATTTCACACCGGGTATTCAAATTAGTTGCTTTATGATTTCGCTTTAGGAAGATGGTCAGCGTATTCCGAGTAATCGCTCACCATTAGTATTCAGCATGCGTGTAGAGACCGCGATGATTCTCGCAGATTTTATATTCAAGGAACGTGGCGTTTGATGGTCTTGCAACGTATCGATGTACTTTATTTTTAACAATATCCGCGATACACTGTGAACATTCCTTGTAAAACACGACATTGTTCGTTTCTTCCGTTCTCTCTCTCTCTCTGTCAATCATTGTTATTCACCGTATATCGTATTCGTTCGTTTAACGATTCTCCGTTTGTAATTTTTCAGGTTTAACTACATTTAAGAACAGCAACTCTGTTGTGGAATTGGTTATGCTCCTCTGCTCTCAGGAATGGCAAAACTCCTTGCAAAAGCATGCGGGTCTCGCTTTCATCGAGCTCATTAACGAGGGAAGGTAAGACGTTTATTATACGGCCTAGAACGCGCGCAAACAAAACGAAATCAAAACATTCTCGTTTCCCTTCATGAAAATGCTTCTTTGCGTTACCCAGGTTGCTATCTCACGCGATGAAGGATCACATAGTAAGAGTCGCAAACGAGGCAGAGTTCATTTTAAACAGGATGAGAGCGGATGACGTGCTGAAGCATGCTGACTTTGAGGTATTGCGTGCATTTCTTCCGGCGATTTCATTGCTCTGTAAATAGAACCGGCCAGTTTTTGTCGCGTTTGAAACGTTTTCGCGAGTCATCTAATACTGATACGATAATATCCCAGCTCACAAATATACCGCTCGATATTATTAATTAAGAATATACATTAATAACAGATGTTTTTTTTTCTGATATTTAGTCACAATGCGCACAGACATTACTGGACCGTCGGGAAGAAGAACGTATGTGCGATCATCTAATCACCGCGGCACGAAGACGCGACAATGTTATCGCTAGCAGACTGCTGGAGAAAGTTCGAAATATCTTGTCCAACAAGCATGGTGCATGGGGATACATGGATCCAATGGCTGCAAAGTGAGTGCAAACGCAATCACTTTAATTTGGCTCTATATCCCATAATAAATAAATTGTATTTAATATTCTATCTATCATCGCTGTTTACAGATTGGCCGAATACTGGAAGCTGGATGCTTGGGAGGATGATGCACGTAGACGCAAGCGTTTCGTGCACAATCCACTAGGCTCGAGCCACCCCGAGGCTACTCTCAAGGCGGCTCTAGAACACGGTGCACCCGAGGATGCGATACTTCAAGCGCGTGAAGAGTTTCACGCGCATCTCGCAGCCTCGCGTGCACACCAACAGCAATTGCAGTCAACGGATCTTATGGATGACAGTGAATTGCTGTCGGACGACAGGGATCTTGACAACGACTTGACAGGTTGGTCGGCGTTCCGTTGCGGGATAAACGAGACGCGACATTTTAATGGCATATTACAGGCCACGTAAACCGGTTTTATTTTCGTCAATTCCGCGCCGCAATTTTGTTAGTTCGTTATTTTAAGTATCGGTCGTCAATTGTTATTTGTTATTTTAATTTCCGCGCTTAATTTCCAATTTCTATGCACTGTACATTACAGAAATAGCGTGCTACCGATAATTTGTAGTATGCACGAGTTTAAAGTAAAATGAGAAAGATTCATTTACGTTTTTATAGTTAAATAAAAAGAATTACAGGCAGTATATTATTATTATTATTATTTTATTGCGTTGCTGTTTACACGCACGCAGCCTGATTATTCATGTTTTTATCAGGTCCGGTGAACATTAGCACGAAAGGCAAATTAATTGCACCCGGTATCGTGGCGCCCGGCATCATTTCCGTTACATCTACAGAGCTGTATTTCGAGGTGGATGAGGATGATCCGGAGTTTAAGAAAATCGACGGCGAGGTGAGTACTTAGAGTAAAATACCCGTGGAAGGACACGTGATAAAAAGACACATTATTGAATATGCGTCTCTGTCACGATTATGCGTTTTTTATATAATCTTCGATAATTAGTTGCTTTATCTGTTCTTTCTCCATTAAGATAGAATATATGTATTTAGGACATTCGCGGTGTTATCTATTCGAAATGTAGTCGCTAGTTGTCTTGGCGATAAAACTGTTTTTCAATGAAAAACCCGAGTCGAGAAAGTTATATTTAGTCGACCAAAGTTATATTTATACACTAGAACTTTTACGAAGCTAAAGAAGCTAAATTTAAAGCCTATATTTAAATAATGGAGGTTAAGCATAATAAGGTCGACTAAGCATTCGATACGATCGAAGCACTAATTTCGTAACGCGTTTATTTTGCAGTTACATGTTCTATTATTTTTTCTAATTTTCCTCCCATTGTTTCTTTCAATTCGCTTCTATCGTCTATCGTCTATCGTCTAAACGCATCTTTATCAGCGCGTGCATTAACACTGCGGCTACAGCTTAAAAATGTGGGCGGTAATAGCGACGCCCATTATTTACATATTAAATGTTTGAGGTAATATTTTATGCTGCCCTCTCTTAAACTGACGAACGCGAGAGCCTAAGGTAGCCGCTCATAACGAAGAGTATTAATCATTTCGGCCGTCGTAGAATTTGAATAAGTGTGCGTCGTAAATGATGAGACGTGGCGAAAGCTTCCACGGCACCGCTGGTGGAGGCAGATTCGGGTTAGAATTAGTTCGGACGTGTCCCTGTCTATCAGTGTCCATAAGGCACTCTACATTCGTGAAGCTTATACAATCAAAGAAAAAAAAAAGAAGAAGAAAACGGAGGGAAAGCCGAGAAGAAGTCGAGAGAAAGAAAGAGAGACGACTGGAAGAACTAGAAGGACGATTATCATATATCGGTCGTAGATCTTGCGTTTGTATAACCAGGGAATAAAACAAACAGAGGAGGGCCCCATGGGGTCGACCGATCTTCAGGGTCGGCAATTATGAGCCCCCCGCGGGGGCCGGTATCTGCTTGCCCACTCTTCCGTCTCTCTCTTTCTCGCTATCTTCCATCGCCTCGCCACGCACTAACTACGCATCGGTGGCATAGGTGAGCAAGCTTCTCACAGGAATGCATTGAAACTACCGCATTTTCCCACCTAGTCAATGAACGTCGCAGTGAAGTTGTGTATCTAACGACGTGTCGCTCAAGTAAAATTCATAGAACCTACGTCTTGATGGCGTGGTATCGATAATTATACGTAATTTTACTCGATAAACCTGATCTTATAAATAATAATTAGCGTTCCCCCTTATTAAATTGCTACACTATAATAACAAAAATTTTCCATCGTCTATATGAATTCATATCAGGAATTTCTTATCGATACCGTGGGATCAGTCTCTTTTAACGCTTACCGGCATCTCTCGTTAACTAATAAATAAAATATATTCAGTGTCCTCCGCGCGAGAGGCTCTCGCAGTAATCGCTCGCCGACGATCGTATCTCTGTGTTTCTCGGGGGTATGCCCAAGGATTTCGCAGTGTCCACCTGTCGTCCCCGTTATATCTCGGCCGACGGACTTGCCCGTGAATAGGACGTACGAACTCATTCGGGCTCTCTTAATTGGAATTCTTTTTAAAAAGGAACGCTGAGCGCACCTGGAAGCGAGGAGGGAAAAAGCGCGAGAAGGAGAGAAAGACGGGCAGACAGATAGAAGCAGAGAAGAAGGAAGCTGAGACGAAGATAGCAAGGAGATAAAGAGAGAAAGAGAGAGAGAGAGAGAGAGAGAGAGAGAGAGAGAGAGAAGGAGCGAGAGAGTGAGAGAGAGACCGGTCGTTCACGATCGAGACACGCTCATTAGTCGAGGATGTCCTGAGGGTAGGCGGGAGGCTTCGTCGAATTCGTAGGCGATGGATCACTCGATAGTCGAGCCGAGACTTAAGCGATCGTAATGCGCGGCCACAGAAGAGGATGCACCCAGGAGTGGCCCCAGGGAGGGACTGCATATCGGGCCGCGCGCCGCTGCACCCTTTTGTGCGTATCTCCTCACGAGCCTCCTCCACGCTCCACGCCGATTGCGCCGATTCCTCCCTTCTTCCTCCTCCGCCTTTTATAATGGCCCAGGCAAACGTATTTATCGTGATTTATCGTTTACACGGGTCTCTCCTTTCTCTCCCGCCCCACCGTTCTTCTTCTCTCTCTCTCTCTTTTTCTTTCTCTTTCTCTTTTTCTCTCTTTCTCTGTTCGTCCCGCAACGTCGTACGTTAAAGATAGAGGATGCACACCGTGCGATTACGTCGAGAATGAATTATTGATAGTCCGCACGAGGCATTAATATCTAAAACAAATAATCAACGGTATGGCGAATGTACTTTTCGTCCCTAATTCGATGAAGAACCTGTGCTCCTCTTCTGCAGTTTAAATACTGAAGCGCAAAGTCCTGCATCCATAACGTAAATTAACAGTTATTTACATTGCGTACCATATGTAAGATTTATGTCACATAATTGCGCATGATGATGTATAATAACGACGCGCTGTCATCGCGATTTGCATACGCTGAAAATTGAGTCGCAACTTGGGTTATTCTTAGAGACAGCAAAACGAAGTAAAGTCGTAAAATAATAATAATCGATTTCCTGCGTTTCTTATTCATCGTACGAGTTCGGAAGCTATAGCGCATATTCTATTTGTAAGATGTAAACATAATATATATTCGAATAATACACGGTGAAAAGTCGATATCGCGTTTAAAGTTTAAATACGTGTTATTAAATTATTAACACGCCGTGCAATAATCTTCAAAAAATTAAGCTTTAATTTTTGCTTTTACACGTCTTTTTATATCTTTCGGGTTTGCATTTCGGAGGAGAAAAAGCAGATCGGCTTTCAATAAAACTTAACTGTTGCCGCAGCTTCGAGAGGGTAGGTCACTCGGGACATTAAACTCTGCCGCGTCGCGGTGGATCGAGCGACTCGCATTTTTATGGAAACCTGCTCTGTGGCGCCTAAAGTTCCCCTTCCCGTGGTATAGTTATCGCAGACACATGCTGCGAATATCCCCGTGGGATGCCCGTGCTGTGCGTGAAAAAGAAAGAGAGAAAGAGGGAGAAAGAGACACAGTGTGGAAATGAGAGAAAGAGGGCCGAGGGATACCAACCGGACAGGTGGTCCGTGCCATACGTTGGTGCTCATTCGCGACGAAGATACCATTAACGAGGGATATAGCGCCGCGAAAAATCCGAGACATCGAGCCGTTTATCAACGGTCGCAAATAGAAACTGCCTCGTAGATCATGCGGTGCCGGAGATTTCCAGGTTCGTAGTTAGAGGTATCGCTGCGACTCGCTTCGCGCTCGCGATTATTAATATCGTCATATTACTCATACGTAAAATACACATTGTGGCGAACGATTGCGTAACCGATACGGAAAGAACTTTCCGTTTCGCGTTTGTAATATAAAGAACTAAACGAGAATGACAGGAGGGCGGACTGTGACCGAGCACCGATTTAATGTTATGCGATTACGGTCCTTCTTAGGCGATGCATATGCATGACATCGGTGTAATATAGTGCGAGTGACGTTATAATAATGCGACTGTAATTATTCCGCGCCCCGCATCGCGGTACCCCTCGTGTGCTGGCATTACAAAGATTGTCCACCTCGCTTTAACCATGCACCGGCCGCTGAACGCGCGCGACCGTATCTCATCGCAATTATTCCACCGCATCTTCCTTGTATCTCGCGATATGTAAACGCGTGTCGATAAATAATAAAGCCTGTCAGCTACTCTTGCGGTCAGATTGCCGTGCAGCCGGTGTCTTCTTCGATAAAGAGACCTGGCTTTTCCTCTGCGCGCGAATTATCCGTGCTCGCTCTTTGAATTATGCGTCGTGAATTCCGGAATAATAACTCTCGTCGAGTTTGATGAATAAGCGTATAACTCTCGATCGGATCTAATACCTTCTGCCCGCGTATATATCACTGCCGTTATTATTAATAAAAACGGCACGGTCTCGAGAGGGAATAATTATTCTTCCAACAGTTTCATTGCGCGTTTTCTGCCAAAGGGGAATCAAGGTGCTCGGGGATCAAGGTGCGCGAGCGCATATCGATGCGAATTTGCATATCCCGCATAATTTAATCGATCCACGATTTCGATGGGACTCGACGGTTGTCGATGGCCAGGTAGCCAATGACCAGGGGGCAGTTTGTGCGAAAAGGATGCAGTTAGTTTGGTAAACATCCATCAATTCGTGGGCAGGGCAGCGCGAGGCAGAGGAGACGGGGCAGAACCTGAAGAGCAGGCAAGCTGGAAGGAGCAGGCGGGTTCATTCTCAACAAGGCAGGGGTAATCACTGCTATTAGTGCGGACATTACTCCGGTGGTCCGCCAATCTCCGTAACACTCCATCATATCGGGGCCCCAAGGCTCTTCAGTGGTGTAGAAAATAGATTTTCCTGCGGACTTCAATCGCGCTACGTTTTGCACCCGCGTAAAATACTCTTAACCGGAGAAAAATGCCTCTATCCAAAAATAGCTCTTCGATAGCTACAATCGATCACTGTTGGCAACTGGCACTTTCTGCTTAAATCTTAATCGTAATTTTCGCGATTACAATTATTTATCTCGCTTCTATCATTCCTCAAGTTCGAACTAATACGTATATCGCTCATATGTATATTTTTTAATCGACTACGCGCTTTAACAAACTACGGAAGTCGAAACGTGTCATCCTAATCTATAAGTGCCAACGACAAACGATCATCCGAAATCTCCTTTACTGTAGCAAACGGTCTTTCTCGTGGTGCCGGTCTTCCTTCGGCGGTCGTTATAGGCGTGACGACCGATTATCCTCGAAAGGAATGATGATGGATATCATAGGCAACTGTCTCGTGCCACATCAGTTCTGTCAGCAACTGCAGGTAGGCGGAAAGCTTGTGGGTGTATCCGTCCTGTAGATACGCGAACC